GAAGAAGTGCAGCTGGAATGCTCCTGACCAGACTTAGCCTCACCTACTTGGTCATCTTGTCAGAAGGAACCATTCCTTGGAGAGGGATATCATGCTTGGTAAAGTGGAAGGTCAGCAAAAAAGAGGAAGACCCTCAATGAGATGGATTGACACAGTGGCTGCTCAAGTATAGTAAGGATTGTGAGGATGGTACAAGACCAGGCAGTGTTTCATTCTGCTGCACATAAGGTCTCTGTGACTCAGAACTGACTCAGTGGTGCCTAACAACAACAGATGCAAATCAAATATTAATAGCCAAGTGGTCTTTCATACAATTTACAAATTATCAATGAACTGAAAATAGAGGAGCCAAAGAAATAATGGTTTTCTATTCCAGTTTGGGTACCAAGAAACTTTTTTTTTTTTTTCGAATTTGGGTTTAGGTTTCACTCCAATAAAAAAAAAAAAAAAAAATGAAGGTATTTTACTTTTGGGATTTGATTCTATACTTATGAAGCACTGTTTTAAAAACTTGAAGAGCAGCATTTGTGTCCTTCCTCCGGAATGAAAACCTACTGTGTCGTTCTGGTCCCTGAGACCCCAAGCCCAGTGTCATCTTGTTCTCACCAACCTGGTGAATCTGGCATGTTCCAGTGAACACGTGGTGAAATTGCCTTGACCGTGGGTATAAGTTATTGAAGACTGATTAATTATATTCGGGTGAAACATTTGGGTTGCTCAGGAGCACATGCATCTGATATAAATAAGCATATATGAGTTGTAAAGAAGGGAAAAATAATAATTTTCCTTGATGCAAGAAGGGAGATTTCTGTCCAACAACTGAGGAATGGATAACCAAACTTTGGTACATTCACACAATGGAATACTATGCAACGCTAAAGAATAATGTAGAATCTGCAAAGCACCGCATAACGTGGATGAACTTGGAGGACATTATGCTGAGCGAAATAAGTCAGTCACAAAAGGACAAATATTGTATTAGTCCGTTATTATGAAAGTTAAGGAAAGGTTTATATATTGGAGGACATTTTCTTTGTTGGTTACCAGGGGTGGGAGGGAAGGGGAGGGAATGCTGTTAGATAGATAGAGATAAATATTGATTTGGGTGAAGAGAAGGGCAATGTACCAAATGTGAGTGACCAATATGGCAGCATTGAGGATGAGAAAGACAGAGAGAGTTACATGGGCAGTACAAACAACAAATATGAACCCCTTTGTAAATACAATACTGAGTTGTCAATGAAAGCAAACATGGGTATAGGGACGGATAGATGGGTGAACAAGCTAAACAATTATGTATGTCTAAATGGAGAGTGTATCCAAGATCATATACAGGGTTGGCAGACAATGGGCCTCTCAAAGAGTATGAAGGGATGGACACTGGGAGGAGGTAACTATGGGGAGGAAGTGGGAGGGGAGCTGCTGCATTGTAAATTTTGGTCAATGACATGAGACAAAGTATATGGGAACTGCTGTATGAAAAGTGAATTTACTCTGTAAATCTTCACCCAAATCCTAATTAAAAAAAAAAAAAAAAAAGAAGGGGGATTCCTCCTTCTCTTTTTCTTAGAGCATTCACTTTAGAAGTCTTGTAATTTTGTGAATTTTTTCTTTGCATCTTTTGAGAAATCTGCTTGAAAGGTTAAACTTCTTGCCAATTTTACAACCAGGAAATGTTTCTTCAAGGACTTAGGAGCCTTCTCTTTAAAATAAAATCAGTAAGGAAGACAGCTTCTTGTGTCAAAGTTTCTTTGGGATGGGAAGCACCTAACTTGGGTGAGCTTAAGGTGTCAAACTACCACCTGTGATGATGATGATGAGATTATTTCTCCTGAACTGAAAGAACAAGCTGAAACAATCAGATCACAAGCAATCAGGTACCAAGCCACCAAATCCACTGCCATCGAGCAACTCAGCGACTCTGTAGGTCAGTGATACTGCACATAGGGTTTCCAAGACTGTCTCATCTTTCTCCCACACAGTGACTGGTAGGTTCAAACAGATGGCTGTTTAGTTAGTAGTCAAATGCTTTAATCACTGCATCACTAGAGCCCCTTACAATCAGGTAAGAGACCCTGAATTTTAGGGAGTCTCCCTTATAGCTTTCAGCTATTTTAGAATAATAATCCAGTGAACTCTCTCACTCACTGTCATTGTGTCAGTTTAGACCCATAGCAACCCTTCCTTGGGTTTCTGAGGCAGTATCCTACAGAAATAGATTGCCCAGTCTTCCTTCTGAGAAGTGGCTGGGTTTTGAACTGCCAGCCTTCTAGTTAGCAGTCAAATGCCTTAGGCACTATGCCACCAGAGCTCCCAGTCCAATGAACAGCCTTCTCCAAATTCAAGATTTTACTATTAAATAAGCAAAGGTAATGTGGACTCTAAAAATCTCATCAGAAAAACTATGTAGGAAACATGGGAAGCCAGGATTATTTCCAGGAGTGTTACCTACGGTCTTTCTCTCTCGCTCTCTCTCTTTTTTCTTTTTTTAATTTTTATTGTGATTTGGGTGAGAGTTTATAGAGCAAATTCACTTTCCATATGGCAGCTCACATACACTTTGTCTCATGACATTGACTGCAATTTCCCACAATGCAACAGCTCCCCTTCCACTTCCTCCCATAGTTACCTTTTCCCTGTGTCCTTCCCTCCATGCACTCCTGCCCCCTGAGCTGTCTCCCAGTGCATACACAGCCCTCCTATTCTCCCATGATTGTTCTCTCCAAAGAGTGTATCTACCTAATGTAAATGTTCGTCTCATATGCCTGTCTTGTTTGGCTGGAAGCCACAGGTGTGGGTTCAATTCCAGACCTGAAGGGCAGCTAGGGGCCATAGTCTCAGTGGTTCCATCAGGCTCTGTCAGACCAACAAACCTGGTCTGTCCTTCTCTCTTTCTCTCTCTCTCTCTCTCTCTCTCTCTCTCTACTGAAGATACCATGGACTGCCAGAAGAACAAACAAATCTGTCCTGGGAAAAGCACAGCTGAAATGCTCCTTGGAAGCAGGAATTGGCAGGCTTCATCTCACATATTTAGGTCATGTTGTCAGAAGGGACCATTCCCTGGAAAAAGATATCATCCTTAGGAGAGGGTCAGCGAAAAAGGGGAAGACCCTCAACAATATGGATTAACACAATGGCTGCAACCATGGTCTCAAGCATAGCAAGAATTGTAAATATGGCACAGGACTGGGAAGTCAGTTCCAACTCATAGCAACCCTTTAGGACAGAGTAGAAATGCCTCATAAGGTTTCCAAGGCTGTAAATCTTCGCAGAAGTAGACCGCCTCATCTCTCTCCTGGAGTGGCTGGTGGGTTCCAGCTGACATTTTACTTAGCAGCCAATGCTTTAACCACTGTCACCAGAGCTCCTCCTTTGATGATAACCATGTTACATTTCTACACTGTGAACACAATTGCCGTTGGGCTCTTATAGTTATTTCGGTGCTTGAAATGTGGCTATTATAATTGATGAGTTGAAGTTATAATTCTAATGAATTGTCATTTAAATAGCCACATATGGCTACTGACTAATGACAACACAGCTCTAGAGTATTCAACAGAACCAAAGCAACAAATATGTGAAGGGGTGTTAAATCTGCTTTCATCACAAACTTTGCTGAAATCTGTGTTTAAGCTTATAGAGACTCATTTAAGAACCATCAAAGCTTTGCTCATAGAAGTCCTGTTAGTGCAATGGTAAAGCCCTAGGCTGCTAACCATGAGGTCGGTGGTTCAAACCCACTAACTGATCTGTGGAAAAGTATGTGGCAGTCTGCCTCTACATGAGAAATGCTATAGGTTAATTTTACTCTGTTATATAGGATCGGTATGACTTGGGATTGACTAGAACTTTATGGTTTTGCTTTATGGAGGAAACAGTCTGCAGTATAGTAAATTACTTAGTGTGGCTTTTCTACCCATAAGTCTTTGTAAACTCCAAGGTGAGATTTTCTGTGAGCAACTGAGGAGCTCCGGTTGCTGAAGCTATCCACCTGGGTTATTTCTGTTGGGCGTGACACAACACAATGTCCTGGGAGGTTCCCTCTCTCTCACGTGCTTAGAGTTCTGGTGCTGTGATTGGCTAGTTTGACCACCCTGCGGGCTCTAAAGGAGACCTTCTGGAGGCAGAACTCTCTCTGACTGCTGGTTGAGGAAGACTTGCTGCTGAAAGAGACACGTGCTGCTGGGAAAGAGACGCAAGAGACACGCATTGCTGAGTGAGACACCGAGGGACCAGCACTGCTGGGAAAGAGACTGTGAGAGACTCTTGGCTGAGGGACGGTGGGCTGGGAGAGAGACTGAGTGTTCTTCCTGAACTTGAGTAGACTGGTCCTTCCCTAATAAACCCTGTAATCTGTGAGCTCTGTGTGGCCACTGCAGCGAATTATCGAACCCAGGAGAGAGGTGGTGGGTGCTTTGGGAGAAACGGTTAGTGAAAGGGCTGGAGCGAAGCAGCATGTCTGGCCTGGCAGGAATAGGCCTTGGGTTACTGCTGGTAATCCTGTCTTCCTCTTGTAGGGTTAGAGGAGGTTGGAACATGTGGCCTCCTTGCCGTTTTTGCACAGTCATAGCCCAAGTCAAAGGGTTGTTGTTGTTATGTGCCCTCGAGTCCGCCTGGACTCATAGCGACCCCTCCTTGGGTTTCCAAGGCAGCATCAGTACAGAAGTAGGATTGCCCAACCTTCCTTCCGAGGAGTGGCTGGCGGGTTTGAACCGCCAGCCTTCTGATTAGCAGTCAGGTCAAAGGGAAAGTTCCGGCCACTGGGTGGAGCTCTCCCGGACGCAAACGCAACCCCGCCCCTGCCGCATGCAGAGGCTCAAAGCACTGAAGTGGAATTGCGAGTGCGCGGCCGGTCGCCATGTTTCATAGCTGTCTTGCTGGAGAGTGAGGTAAGTGAGGTTGGGCCTGTGTGTCTGGCCTGGGCGGGTACCAGCTACAGCCCTCAGAACCTCAGGAGGGCCTATTGGAGTTCTAAGAAAGCTGCTCTGCACAGTCCCGGCATGGTGCAGAGCCCCAGGACCTCCACTAGCCACACTTTGTCTGGAGCCTACTCACGCTGTCGCCGCTGCTTTTGCGCGGCTTGGACTCTGCTGCTCCTGCAGCTGAGCGCCCGCTCTGAGAGCCCCGGCCCAGTAACCACCGCCCGCTGGGGCGGCTGCTTTCTGCACGGCCGGGGTCGGGAAGGCCAGGTAGGTTGGGCTAGCCCTAGGTCTGTCGGTGAACTATAGGAAAACGGTGTAAATCGTCGGCGGGCGCGAGCGGGGGCGGGGACCCGCAGTGTGGGCTTCAGCTGGCAGTGTGCGAGAAATGCACAAGCCTCAGCGAACCGGGGGTAGGTAGGCTCACTCTAAATGCCCTGCTCCCGCCTCCTTCAGTTTGCCCTGCACCATGCCTTTTTGCTTTTCTCTGCATCAGCAGCCAAGGACCTTTTTTTTTTTTTTTTTTTTTTCAAGTTACTGGTGGTTATAAGAAAAAGATTGTGAGGCATATCGCCCCCCAGTTTAATTGTTAAGGAGTCCTGGTGGCACAGTGGTTAAAAACGCTTGCTGATAACTAAAAGATCAGCAGTTGGAACCCACCGAGACGCTGTGCCTTGCAGCCTTGGAAACCCAATGGGGCAGCTCTGTTCTGTCCTGTAGCGTCGTTAGAGTCGGAATTGACCTGATGCCCGCGGGTTTGATTTTTAGTTAAATTGTTGTTGGACTTTGACTTAGATGAATAATTAAGAAACATGAGTTGGAAGTAGTACGTTCATTTAGGACCATAATGTATCCCCACATCAGGAGGAAACAATTTATTAAGAGGCACATTTTCAGGTATTTATTTGCTGTAAGGCAGAAATTTCTATCACAGTTTTGCCAAAGACAGTATGGCCAACCTGATGTGACTGAACAGGACTAACATGGGAGACCAGCAGTTTGTAGAGGTCACACACCCAGTGTTTCCCAAAAATCCTAAACATGGACTGAGACAGGATCAGTTCTAGATTGGAAGCAAGTGAGTCACCCATAATTCTGTTGCCAAAGAGCCACACTTCATAAGTTGAAGCTTCTTGCAGAAAACCCGACATATTTCCATTGTTAAAACTAAAACTAAACTAAACTCACTGCCTTCGAGTCAGATCCGACTCACAGCGACCCCTCCTTGGGTTTCCCAGACTATCTCTACAAGTAGATTGCCTAGTCTTCCTTCTGAGGAGTGGCTGGTGGGTTTGAACTGCCAGCCTTCTGGTTTCCATTGTTAGAGCAGCAAGTACTGAGAATGAGGGCAAAAGACCAGCCATACTACAGTGTTGCTGATGTGCCTCATTCTTTAATTATTTCAGAAAGTGCTCTTACTTGGATAAAAACGAAATGTACAACTATTGAAAAGTGTTGATTTATAGGACATACCTTTGAACATGAAGGAGTAAAACTGATGAGTTATGTATACAGCATTTGTAATATAAATAGAGAATATGTATTTAAACCAAATGTAATAATGTAGAATGAAGGTAGTGTGTGTATATCAAACCTGTTAAGAGTTAAAGTAACAAAAGGATACCGTTTTGCATAAAACAAAAGATAAGGATAAATACAGAGATACTAAAGAATCAAGCAGCAACTGCATGTATATCAAAAACTTAAAATATGTCATTTTAATTGTTCTGTTTGAGAAATCATTGCTAACTCCAAAGTCATTTACAGAATCTGTATACTTGTAATCCACTGGAGTTGCTGGTATAAAAGTAGCCTTGTTATTTTCTTTCCCTATTAATAACCACTTGATCTAGATCCATTTGCCTTAAAGAGTCCATTCTTTCCTGCCTGCAGTTACTCAAATGTCATTTTATTTCTCTAGGTCATCAGTTGGGTGGTGGTTTAAACCCACCAGCCACTCCTTGGAAGGAAGGTTGGGCAATCTACTTCCATAGTGATACTGCCTCAGAAACCCAAGGAGGGGTTGCTATGAGTCAGGTCTGGCTTGACGGCACATAACAACAACAACAGGTCATCAGTGCTGAGGGTTAGCATTTAATCCTTGAAATACCTACATACCTCCCCACATCCTCATGATATCAGTCCCATGTAGAACAAAAGCCATTTATTTTACTTTTGGGAGCTCTGGTGGCATAGCACCTAAGACATTTGACTGCTAACCAGAAGGTGGGCCGTTCAAACCTACCAGCCACTCCTCAGAAGGAGGGTTGGGCAATCTACTTCCATAGCAACACCACCTCGGAAACCCAAGGAGGGGTCACTGTGGGTTGGATCCGACTCGAGGGCAGTGAGTTTGGTTTTTGTTTGTATTTTGCTTTTGGTAATAAGATCTTACGTAGTCAGTTTTCTGTATAGCTGTCTACTGATGGGGATAGGGGATCTCAACAGGAAGAAAGAAATGTTAATTGCAAAATTGACAGGGAAAATACTAATCACATTTTACAGTGATATGAATGAAATGAGAATTTTTAAAAGAGAGTTTAACTTCACATAGTAAAAAATCAAGGAGTGATGATGGATTCATTGGCCAAACTTGCAAAATATGTTCTTGCTGAGAATTCACCGATGTTGATATAAATGTCTATGTGGATTTACAAAGAGCAGAGGTCCCCAGGTGACACTACACTCTGAACCTTGAGCCTCTCATACCCTGTGGAAAGGAGGGTCACGTTCCCTAGCCTGACCAGCCATGGGTGCTTCTGTTGCTCTGGAATGAGGAGATTTCCTCCTGTGTTCACCGTATCTTGCCATGAGGTTAAAACCTGTGGAGCTGCATGAAGAATGCAGATACCCTCCAAGTGGAGCAATGCCTTGAGCCTGGGAGGAAGCCCCGCCCAGGCAAAGTGTTGAAGCCAAGAACCTGTCACTCTCTGCTTACTAACAGTCTGTTCCCCCACACCCCTGCATTTTCTTCCATTTCAGGTCCCTGGTGTGGCTCAGGAAGAACTGCTCCAGTCTAGGCAGCTGGGGACCTAGGGCAGCCGTCTTACACATCTGTAAACCACAAGCAGAGATTTCAGCTGCTGACTGGCTGTGTAGACCAAACGTTAGCCGCCTCCAGACTGCCTGGAGGCCTTGCTTCCACTCCCATCCCTCTTGCCTTTCCTGGCTTTTTGGGCTCAGAGAGAACATTCACTTACACTTCCAGAGGCTAGAGCCAAGAAATGGTGAGTACCATAGAGAACTGAGTAATTCCTACCATAAAAGGAAGACGCTAACTATGATTTGGTGGGGGACCAGCTGTGTGCTCCCAGCTCTGTGTTTCTTCTATGATGTGACAAGTGGCAGAGGGGATTAAAGCCTAAGAAATGCCAGTTACAGGGCCCTTCCTCTACACACATAAGTGGTTTGAAAGCCTTGAATGCCTGGGTCACCTTCTTTATAGGATTTCCAAGTTGGCACCATGGGGCATTCCCATCCCCACCCTGGTCCTCAGTGCTCTGTGTTGAATGACAGAATCTCTTGACCAGAGGCTAGAAGTGGAACAGCTCTGGCTGAGGAGGCTGAGCCCCAGCCCTCCAGAGCCGTCCTTGTCCCAACATCGCAAACAGTGTTCTTGGCTTCCCCCCGACACTGCAGCCTTTTCTGTGCAGTTCTAAGATTACAGCTCCACCTCTTACATGGTGTGATGGGGTAAAGAAGGGAAGAGAGACTTCCCAAGAGAACTCTGACTTTTTATGGAGTCCTGCATGAGGCTTGGCACTCTCATGACCTCATCACAGGAATGAGGCAGGAGAGGGAGCTGGATCATGTGTCATGTCTCCAGAACCATCATCCCCCCTCCACCCTGTGGGTATAGATTTTAGTTGAGGCTTTCAGGTGTGTGAGAAGCACGCTAACCAGTCCAGGTCCCTGCCTTCCCAGCCACTCTCTGCTGGTATTAAACTCCTAAATTATTTTGTTGCTTCCCACAGTCTTGGATTAGAACCTAGGAGTGATGGGGTATGTGTGTGTGTGTGTGGTTTTTTTGTTTTCTTGTGGCTAACGCAGCTCAGAATAAGAAATGGTTATATTTAAGTTCTCAGGGTCACAGTTTCCACTAGAAACAAATTTCACAATCAGATTGTTATGTTTCTACTGAGAATTTTCCCATTTAATAGCTATAAAACTTCTCAAACAAAGGAATGCCTATTTATTAACATAAAAGTCAACTCTGAGGCTTACTTAAATCTTAAAAATGATCTTTAAAACTGCTATTACATTTACCCTGTCATGCCAGAAGCCCTGCTGTTTTAAATTTTCCAGCTGTTTTAGAAACATTCTGACTGAGATAAAAATGCAAGTCCAGACTTTTATCTCTGGTCACTGTGTCCTAAAAGAGATCTCAGACTCACATTTTTATTCTTTGCACAAATATATTCAACCATTTTAGGACCTAGATGAATAAATCTTAAATAGTTTTATATATTTGAATGGAAGCACATTATATATCACATTTGATTTATATCATGTTTAAAACTAAAATTTATTTCATGCAAATTATTGTACTTTTCCAATAGATAATTCCTTCAAAGTTTGAATCTCATTATGAACTTAAAAAGGATGCTTTTTGAAGACGTGTTCCTATTCTTGGCTCCTGTACTGTTTTCCTGCTGCTACCCTTAGATAACCAGCTTTATTGTGATTTCTGTCTGTAAATGCAAACAAATAAAATTAGAAATTTTTATTTATCCTACTTTGTTACACATACAGTAGCTTAGAATTTATATTTGCTTTTTATAGGTGAGAAATTATCCTAGAGATCTGTTCATAACAATACAGGAATGAACACAGGAATTAATCACTTAATGTCCATTTGGACAACATCCAACCACATATATGTCTGTGATCACATAGGGTTTTGTGTGTGGGTTTTTGTGGTTTTTCATTTAAATGAAAGCAACTCTCCTTTTATTATTTTCCCCTAATGGCTTAAAAAACCCCAAACCCAGAATCTTGCAGTACTGGACCTCGGGTGGGATACAGGCAGGTGAGGCAAAGGACATGGTTCTAGGCTATGGCTGTAGGGATTTGGGCAGGGGAGTATAGGACCCAGCCTGCTCCTGCTGCTCAGGTGGGCAGAACAGTCAGTGGGGCTGGACACACTTTGCTCCCTCCTCACTTGCTCCCTCTTTCCCCACTCCCACCCTCTCAGCCGCTACTGTTGGGGGCACCGGTCTTTCCGGCCTCTACTAGCAGCAGCAGCAGCAAAGACAACAGGAAGTGGGCTC